TCACCCTGGCCAGTATGGCTCTCCGGTTAGCGCACTGAAGGTCACAGGTTTGATTCCCAGTCAAGGGCAAATACCTGGGTTAAGGGTTCAAGCCCCAACCCTAATCAGGGTGGGTGCAGGAGCCAACCTATCAATCTGTCTCTCTCATCAAAGTTTCTCTCTTTCTCTCTCTCTCCTCCCAATCCCTTGCCCCTTCCCTTCCACTCTCTCTAAAAATCAATGGAAAAAATATCCTTGGGTAAAGATTTAAAAAAAGAAAAAAAAGAACCTGACCCGTGTGGCTCAGTGGTTGAGCATCAACTTATGAACCAGGAGGTCTCGGCTCAATTCCCAGTCAGGGCACATGCCCAGGTTGTGGGCTCAATCCCCAGTAGGGGGAATGCAGGAAGGAAACAGCCCATAGATGATTCTCTCTCATCTTTGATGTTTATCTCTCTCTCTCCCTCTCCCTTCCTCTCTCTGAAATCAATTTATGCTTCCTTTAATTTTTTTTTTTTTTTTTTACCTCAGACAATTGTATATCTGGATCCAGCTTTGTATTCTCTTCATTCAGACTTGGATTACTTCTTGTTGGCGGTATAAATTTTGGTTTTTTGAAGGGTTTCCCCTGCAACTGACTTGGTGCTGCAGATCGTCTCATATTCAGCAGTACGAACCTGAAAAATACCAAAAACAAAAATCTTCCATAAATCTGATTAGATCCGGTCTTTCTGCCTCGGTTTCTGTGGTGAGTGGGGACATGCACACTGTGCAGGGCAGCTTTTATACAGTGTGAGGGGTTAGCAGAGGAGGGAAACCATTCTCTACGGTTTCCTATTCAAGGGCAAAATAGATCCCTATTAACACAATCTGAGAGCAAATGAATGGTTTGATTAAATTTAAAATTGGTTTGTAACTGTACTTGAGAAGCAGTATTTACCAATACCAGTGGTCAACACAGCTTCTGTCTAAGTAAGTCATACCAACATAACCTCACTAGCCCCACCCCCTTCTATTATGGCCAACAGGATATTACCTGTCCTTGGATACATAACTGACAACTGCAACATGATGAGTTTAAACACACAAATGTTAGGCCCTTAATGGTCAAATGAAATGGAATAGAAAGTTTATATGAAAAACCAAGGCTTTTAGATGACAACAGCTCAACTGAAATAACAAGATAATGACGAGCTTACTTAAAGTAATGTAATAAATATTTGATGTTAATAAAAATAACGTCCACATCATGAAATTAGTAGGTTTTATTTTCTGCATTTAGTCAGATCCCCCTGGAAAACTCTGACAATTCTGACCAACCCGTTTTAAAAAGAACACTAGAAAAATACAGCAGATAGAAACTTTGGGCAAACTACTTAAACTCTCTGGATATCAATTCCCTCATTTGTAAAATTTTATCACGAGGTGGTAAAATTCCTTTCATTACCACCTTAAACCCTAAAGCCCTTCCAGACCTAACACATGATTTCTCATTTTTCAACCCTCCTATTTATTTATTAACTATTTTTTAAATGAATTTGAGAATGTAGGCAGGTGAGAAGCGGCACAGAGAGGTGGTGGTTCAGAAAACAGACTAAGTTGGCTTGAATTCTAGCTCTGCCATTTACATCCATCAGTCATCGAACTTATTAATGCATTTAAAAGTAAACTGCAGGCATCAGTATATTTACCCCTAAATATTTCAGCTTCCTTGTACCTCTTAAATTAGAACCATCTGAGCCCTATGCCCAGGCCCTAAAAATAATGCTGTAGCTGGTTTGACTCAGTGGATAGAGCGTGGGCCTGAGGACTGAAGGGTCCCAGGTTCGATTCCCATCAAGGACACATGCCTGGGTTGCTGGGCTCCATTCCCAGCAGGGGGCATGCAGGAGGCAGCTGATCAATGATTCTCATCATTAATGTCTCTCTCTCTCTCTCTCTCTCTCTCTCCTTCTCCTTTTCTCTTTGAAATCAATAAAATATATTTAAAAATAAAGAATGCCCACTTGGCAGCCCTAGTGGGATGAATTCTAAGATGAATTGAGGTGATGTGAACACCCTGCCTGCTTCTATCCTCCCAAGTCAATGGCAAGTCCTGGCTGATAGACAGCTGCGACCCATCAGAAAGCCCGAACGTTGGGGCAATGCAGAGATAGTGAGGAACACAGCTTTGAAGGTCACCGTGTGATGTCATCCCTCACAGCACAGCTTTACAGGTAAATACCTGGACTGACTCTGCCTCGTGTGTGATCGTGTTCAGTCTCTGTGTCTCCATGGCTTCAACGATAAGAGTGGGTACGATAACCATGATGACCGTGCTGCTGGATTAAGTAAAATGCTTCAAGCACTCAGAACAGAGCTTACACATAGTAAGCACCCAAGGTTGTCTGTAATAACACCATGTTCTAATTATCACTGGGTGCTTAATACACAAGGTCCTGTGATGAAGGTCCCATGAGATGAGACAGTGAAGGATGTAGCTCGACCCAGGGGATCATGATCGAAATCTGTGGGTTTGTGTGGGCACTGAAGGTGGGAGGGGTGCCATCATCAGACCTCCGGGAGCAAGGAGGTAAATAAGCCAAGGACCTGCCGCGGACCGCCTCTGCTGCTGCTGCTGCTGCTGCTGCTGCGCTGCAGGCCTCACTGCTCTTTTTCTTTTTCCCTTTTTAACATATTTTATTTTTTACAGAGAGGAAGGGAGAGGAATAGAGAGTTAGAAACATCGATGAGAGAGAATCATCGATCAGCTGCCTCTTGCACACCCACTACTGGGGATGTGCCCGCAACCAAGGTACCTGCCCTTGCCCGGAATCGAACCCGGGACCTTTCAGTCCGCAGACTGACGCTCTATCCACTGAGCCACACCGGTCAGGGCTCACCTGCTCTTTTGAGCTCAGGGCCCCGCTCCACCGGCCGCCCAAACCCGCCGCTAAGGAATCAGCACCGGAGGCGGCGTAGGCCCGCCCGGGGGTTAGGAACGCGGCGGGCGGAGCCGGCGGACCGCAGAGCGGAGTCCCGTCCCCCGGGGGCTCCCCCAAAACGCCCCCACCGCCGCCCGCCGCCCCCCGGAACCGCGGCCAGGGCCCCCCGCACCTGAGATCGCCCCGGGACCTGTAGGAGGCGGCCCTGCTGGCTCCACCACCGACCTCCCCGCTCCCTCCGAGGCCTGCTGCGCGCCTCTCCCCGCCGAGGCCCCCCGGGCGCGGGCGGTCCTCCGGGGAAGCCGCGGGGCGGGCGCGGAGAAGCGGGGTCCCCGCGGGCGGCGCCAGGCAGACGGCTCCCCTCCCGGCGGCGCTCAAAGAGCCCGCGGCCGCGCGGCCAATGGCGGGGGAGCCGCCGCGCGTGCGCAGCGCCTCCCCGGCGGCGCCCCGCCCAGCACGCCGCTGATTGGCCGGCCTCCCGGCACGTGGCCCGCCGCGCCTCTCTGCCCGCGCCGCCCAGCGTCTCCGAGGCTGCGCTTCGGCTCCGAAAGGGACTTGTGCCGCCGGTGTGGCTCAGTGGATGGAGCGTGGGCCTGCGGAGCGAAGGGCCCTGGGTTCCATTCGGTCAGAAAGGATTGGCACGAATTACTGAAAGTGATGAAAAGCCAAGGAGCTACAACCCAGGTGACTCTATCCAGCAAGTCTAACATTCAGAATCAGAGGACAGAGAAGAGCTTCCCAGACAAGAAGGGGCCAAAGAAGCTCACCGCCATCAAACCGTTAGTAAAACTAATTAATTAAAGGGTCTTTTTTAAGAAGAAAAAGATTAAAAAATATGAATAGCCCTGGCTGGTGTGGCTCAGTTGGTTGGAGTGTTGTCCCACATACAGAAAGGTTAAGGGTTGGGGCACATATGGAAGGCAACCAATATTCTCTCTCACATAGATGCCCCCCCTCTTCCTCACCCTCTAAAATCAAGCATTTCCTCCAGTGAGGATTTTTTTAAAAACATGAATTAAAAATAGCTGTATATACATGTTTATCAACAAGAACTTGAAGTGCAAATGGTTAAATTTTCCAATGAAAAGACAATGTCTGAAGATAACAAAGCAAGACCATTACATATGCTGTGTACAAGAGACCCACTTCAGATCAAAAGGCACAGACTGAAAGAGATGGGAAAAATATATTTCATGAAAATAGAAATTTACAAAGCTGGGATAGCAATACTTATACCAGACAAAATCCGCATTGGCCTGCGGACTGAAGGGTCCCGGGTTCGATTCGGGTCAAGGGCACGCATCTTAGATGTGGGCACATCCCCAGTGGGGGGTGGTGCTGGAGGCAGCTGATAGATGTTTCTCTCTCATTGATGTTTCTAACTATTTCCCTTCTTCTCTGTAAAAAAATCAATAAAATATATATTTTTTAAAAATCGATAGAAAAAATTAAAATGAAATAAAAATAAAAAACAAAACACACAAAATGATAAGCCAAAACTATTCATTGTGGCATTGTTTACAATAGCCAAATATGGAATCAACCTAATCATATAAAGAAGTGATGCACATAAATGGAATGTAACCATAAGAAAAAATAAAATCTTGCCATCTACAACAGCATGGATATACCTAGTGTGTTGTGCTGAGTAGAGTCAGAGACAAATGCCATTTCACTTATATGCTGAATATGAAAAAGAATAACTGAACAAGCAGAGCTGAGACTCAGATACAGAAAACACTTCGATGGTTGCCAGGTGGGAGGAGGGTTGGAGGGATGAGTGAAAGAAGTGAAGAGATTAAGAAGTACAAATTGGTGGTTACAGAACTGACATCCATGGGGATGTCAATAATACTGTAGTAACTGTGTGGTGTCAGATGGGTACAAGATTTATGGGGTGATCACTTCCTGGGTTATATAAATGTCTAATCACTGCGTTATACACCTGAGACTGACATAATATTGCCAGCAACTCTAATTGAAAAACCAAAATTACTTTTAAAAAATTAGAAGCTAGCCAACGTGTTTTTAAAATCTGTTTTTATCACTTTTGAATCAAATTCCTTAGATTTCTACATCTGTAAAATTAAGATATTTCCTTTGCTGGACTGTTATAAAGACTGAGTAATAGTGCATAAAGGGGAATTCCTTAGATTCCCATTTATCTAAGATTATTGGGCAATCAGGACATTTTTAATGATGCACATAAATGGAATACAACCACCATAAGAAAAAACAAAATCTTCATCTACAACAGCATGGATATACCTAGTGTCTGTTATAAACTTTATTTCTGTATATAAAGTCCAGATTAGGTCTCTTGGATTCCCAAAATAACTATTAGGACACATCTCATTTTAGGCTTTAGATAACTGTAATAAAATAGCAAATGTAGGTATAATTTGCTTCTGCAGTACTAATTTATTACTTTGGCTGGCCTGAATTCCTGAGTGTTACACTAATAGTCAAATAGCATACACAACACTGATATTTCTCAAAGATTATGTTCAACTTAAAGCTAAAAAACAAATCAAGAAATGTACTTATAGTGCTTGCTTTGGAAGTACATATACTAAAATTGGAACAATACAGAGATTAGCATGGCCCCTACACAAGGATGACACACAAATTCATGAAGCATTCCATTAAAAAAAAGTACATATATGTAGCCATATTTTATTATTTAACAAATGTAATTACTTAAGAAATAATTATTACATGTATTAGGGACAAACTTTGAATTCTATCTAATGTGAATAATATATCTTTAGAGATGAGCTTATTAGGTTTGAGAATTTAAAGGGGTTTAGTTATCCTGGGTTTTTTGAGGCCATTAGGGATATGAGATTTCCTTTACTTTTCACTTAAACATCAGAATCTTCAGAGCTGAGCTTTTATTTAAGGAATTCTATCAAACATTGTATTTACTCACAAATAGTTCAGCAAAACGAATAATAAATGAGACTCATACACACTCCTTTGTTAAGTCTTTTTATTTATTGATTGATTTGAAAGAGAGGGAGAGAGAAGAAACATTGATGAGAAACATCCATTGGCTGCGGCTTCCTCCTGCATGTCCTGAGAGCCCTCCACCCCCTTACTGCCACCCCCACCCCCCACCCCACCCCACCTCCCAGGATTGAGCTTGCAACTTGGGGATATGCCCCTACCAGGAATCGGACAGGTGACCTCTTGATTCATGGGTCCACACTCAACCATTGAGCCAATCGGCCTGGGCGAGAAGTCTCTATTTTATGTCAGTTATATAGGCTCAGTGTTATCTCTTGTGAAAAATATGGCTATTTTCCGTTATAAACTTTATTTCTGTATATAAAGTCCAGATTTTGTTAGGTCTTTTGAATTCCCAAGATAACTATTAGGACACACCTAATCATTTTAGGCTTTAGATGACTGTAATAAAATAGCAATTGTAGGTCTAAGTATAAAGGTGAAACACGAAGTACATACACATTTCTAATGTACAGAAGAACGCTGTGTTTCTCTTGTTACAGACAAAAAGGTTCCCCAAACTACGCATCAGGGAACCCTAGTAAATCAGTACAAGGGTCCGTGTTTAAATTTCTGAGGGGAACACATCTGTTGGACATAACACAAACTGCTTGTTTGAGGTAGTTTATATTCTCAATCTTAAGTGGCTTTCTATTTCTTCCCATGACGGTGCATCTTTTAAAAACTGGTTTTTCAGGAGCTGTGATAAAAGTACTGTGCAAAAAGCATAGTGCAACAGAAGTGACAGCAGCAGTGTCGATCCACGCTGATTCCAAGGTGTGAGAAGCTGTACAGTGTCCGCAATTACTAATGCTTACGATATAAATTCTTACTAAGTTGTCTGGACCTGACTGCTTAATAAATGGAAGTATCATGCAATTCTTTTGTCCTAGATGTGAAAGAAAAAAGAAAAAAAAATGACTGAAACGCTAAAGGGCACTATGAGCTGAGAAAATATTAGGAACATCTGTGGTATAGGCAAGGATACCCTAAGACAAAAGTAATTTCATCATTCATTTTTCTACCTAAGAAATTTTCTAATCTTATAGAAGGAGGAAAAAAAATATATAAAAACATACATACAAAGTTTGGATTTTTATTGAAATCTTGTGTTACGTATCAAACAAATCTGCTTTCTTCAGATAAAAATATTTTTTCAGAGTTTCCAGGTAACTGCTAAAAGGTTACGTTGGTCCTTCGATGTCTTATTATTTTTTGTTGTCAGGAAAGGTTCATATACATGTAGGATGTCCCCAGAGTAACTCTTATCGCGTAAAGGACCGCACGTGCCGGCCTCTGCCGCTGCCGCCGCTGACAAACTTGCCCCTGGAGCCGCCGCTGCCGCTGTTCGCACTGGCCCAGGAGGGCCCCAGGCCCCCGCGGCCCCGGGAAGCCCGGTCCCGGGGGCTTGGGCGGTAGCCTGCGGAAGAAAGCACACAGTACTCGCTGCAGCATCCTTTCCTCTCCCGTTCTATGAAGACTCATCTACAACACTGAGCTCCAACCAAGACAGAAATTATTCTTGGCTCCTTTAAAGTCCATGTACAAGTGCTATGAATGTGTCAGAGACCAGTGTGAACTGTCCTCTTTAAATAGTTTCATATGAGCCGGGACCGGTTGGCTCAATGGATAGAGCGTCGGCTTGGGGACTGAAGGGCCCCGGGTTCGATTCCGGTCAAGGGCATGTACCTTGGTTGCGGGCATATCCCCAGTAGGGGGTGTGCAAGAGGCAGCTGATCGATGACTCTCTCTCATCGATGTTTCTAACTCTCTATCTCTCTCCCTTCCTCTCTGTAAAAAATCAATAATATATATTTTTTTAAATAAAAAATAATACAAATATATATAGAAATAGTTTCATATGAGAACAACATCTCAAATAAAGCTGTTAAGGGTTATATGCTTACTAGTATACACACAATATAGTACAGTAACTAAAAACAGAAGACACCATATGTACATGCCCTTGACCGGAATCGAACCTAGGACCCTTCAGTCTGCAGGCCGACGCTCTATCCACTGAGCCAAACCGGTTTCGGCAGAAGACACCATACGAAGATATGTCTATTCTTAAAATACTTTGGCCAAAAATGTACCTAAGGGTTGGCTTTTATCATTAAAATATAGAAACAAGTACACTGCCATAAAACTGCTCAGACTATACACAAAGGTCAGAATAAGCACTTTTGGTTATTTCTATAGAAAATATACATGGGGCACTCATTCAGATATAAAATTAAATTGACTTTAGAATTACACATTTATATTCTAAAATATTCTCTCCCAGAATCAGAGTACATTACACTTAACAATTTGAAAATGTGGATTCACTTCCCTCTCTCAGCAATACCAAGTAGGAAGAACGTTTACCTGTGGAGCTGAGTGGTCGCAGAGGTGGAAGCGGGCCCCTGTTGAAATTGCTCTGGCCTCCGCGGCTCTCATTGTAAGTCCCTCGAGGAGTGTTCTGAGCGCTCCAACTGGAGCCTCTTGTTCCCTCCCGACGACTGTAGTTTCCTGAAGGCAACACAAGCAAAACCTTTTTTCACAACTGCAGGTGGGTTAAGAAAGACGGGACAGGTTTTCCTTAACCTTCAAAGGGAACAGAAGATACACTGAAATTCTTGTAAACGAAACAGACTGTGGAGTGGCAGCATCACACGTGGTTAAGAGCGGAAGCTGTGGAGCCAGACTGCCAGGTTCGCACACTGGTTTTACTACTCACACTGAGCTGTCCTGACAGTCTTCTCTTCCGTAAAGTGGGCGTATGAACAAAACCTACCGCATGGGGCTGATGTGAGAGTTTTTCATATATATAACATAGCTATGTGTCTGCTATTAAGGTAAACTCCCATTTTCTTTCACTCCTATCTAAATTCTTGAAACAATTTAAAACAGATTAAATATCACATTGGGAATCAAGTACACAAGAGATGCAATGGTGAATATACAGAAAAATCTTCGTGAAATTGTTGATAAGTACAGCTTTAAAAAAATGTATAATTATTATTCAGAAAGGATAAACATAATCCTTAATGTAAAAACGAAAATAATTAGCCCAGACTTAATTAAACTCATCACTAAATGTGCTTAAATTAAGTGAAAGTTACTTTAAAAAGAGAATGTTTCCCTATCCAATAAAATGCTCTGAAAATAGTCAAGAGGCAGCTTAATTTTAGTAACAGAAAAATGCTTCATCTGAATCACTACCATCTTGGTTGAGGGCACATCCCCAGTAGGTGGTGTGCAGGAGGCACCTGATCGATGTCTCTGTCATCGATGTTTCTAACTCTATCCCTCTCTCTTCCTCTCTGTAAATAAATAAATAAATAAATAAATAAATAGCTATGGGAAAACATCCTCAGGTGAGGATTAACAAAACAAAAAAAGAGAAAGGAAACACATATATGTAGTTACCTTTTGAGGCAGGCGGTGTGAAAAACCTGTTTTGACTGTGAAAAGCTCCCCGCCCTCCTCGGTTGCCTGAAAACCCGCCACGAGAAGAAATCTTCTGGGAGACTTTGAGCGGCCGTTTTGGTGGGGGTATTCCATCCTGCGGGACCACTTCTTTACTTTCAGCTGCAACAAAGTCGTCCACATGCATAGAGGGTGGTCTGCTCGTGTTCTGCTTTCTCTGACGGAAAATATCATGGGGGCGGATACCCTGCCCAAATCCGCCCCTGCCCCTTCCTCTGGGTGGGGGCACAACGTGAGCTCGTTTGGCAGGTTCAATGTACTCGGATTTTCCACTATTAAAGCAAAAATAATCCATGAGAACATTTTTTTAAAATATATACTTCCGATGAATAAATCAATCTTCACAATATGAAAATTACATTTCAATTATTTCTTATTCCAATTGTGGTTAGTTTTCAAATATTCCCATTACAGGCAAACCTTGCTTTAATATGCTTTGCTTTACTGAACTTCACAGATACTGCATTTTTTACAGACTGAAGTCAAGAACCTACATCAGTAAAAAGATTGACTCACCAAAGGCTCAGATGATAGTATCATTTAGCAATCAAGTATTTTTTAATTAAGGTATGTACATTGGTTTTTAGACCCAAAGATATTGCACACTTAATAGACTTTAGTATAGGGTAAACATAATGTTTACATGCACCAAGAAACAAAAAATTTCATGTAACTCACTTTATTATGATATTTACTTTATTGTAGTAGTCTGGAACCAAGCCTACATGTCTCCCAAGATATACCTGTACTTTCCATGGAAATACAATAAAACTAGCTAAGAATGGCACTCACATTTTATTGATATAACTAACAATTATCCTGTCTTATAAAAAGAAATATGCTAATTGACCCTCGCATTGTTGCAAAGATGGTGGCACCCACAGCCAATAGGAGGGAATATGCTAATTGACTGCTCCGCCCTCAAAGATGGCGGCACTCAGTGTCCTCAGCACCCTCCGACTTGCTGCCTCCTGCACAACCCCCATTGGGGATCAATGGGCATGTGCCCTTGGCTAGAAATTGAACTGGCAATCTCCTGGTACACAAACAACCCCCAACTGAGCCACATCAGCCAAGGCTTCCTTTATCCTTTAATAGCCATGTGTCTAGCTTAAAATACACTAAAATAAATAAACATATGTGACCACAATCAAAATCTTCAGTAGAATAAATGTTACCTTGAAGTTATAAAGGTCTCATGCTTGTGCTTCCCAAGTTTGAATCCTTTCGTGGTCTTGGTTCTCCCTGGAGATGATGGTTCTGACAAAAACGAGCGCTCTAATTCCGAGTGCAAGTCAAAGTCAGTACAGCATTTTTCAGAGAGTTCAATTAAGTCCACTTTTACCTGCAGTCATAAAAATTAAATAAAATGAAATATACACCTTAAATGTAACTATTAGTGTAACACTTAACTATGGAAATTCTTATTTCCTATAAATTATCTGACTCTAATTAATTACAGGCCTACCTCTTTCCCTCATCTTTACAAAAAACAACATCACTGGTAGTTAAAAAAAAAAAATCTTAGGAACTCATTTGTGGGTTTTTCTTGGTGGGTAATGGGTTTGGCGTTTTTCCTCACAGAAGTGTCATTAATCTAAGAGACCTAGGCTGCCTGACAAAGAACGCAGGATTTCTCTATATAAATTAACAATGTAGCATCTCCAGAACTTTTCCAAAAGAATATGAAAATAACATATTCTACAAGCCGTATAAAGTTAACCTATCTGCTATAAAAGGATTTTGTGCATCAGGTCTCAAAGTTCTATGCATTTAATGAGGTATCAACCTAAGTTTACTTTCAGAGAAATGAAAATTACATTTACTTAGGTTTTATTCAAATTTATCAAACCTAAAAGTCTTAAAATTTCCCTAAGCCATGTAAGGTCACAGTCATTAATGCAACACAGCTGTGATTCAAAGTGAAGTTTATAAAAACAACAAGTTGTAATACAAATGTTTTATGTGATGCCAATATGGTAGTCGCTAACCACATATACCTATTTAATTTAAAATTAATTGAAATTAAAATTAAAATTAAATGCAGTTTCTCAATTATATTAACATTTCATTGCTCACCAGTCACATAAAGCTGGTGGCTACTTTACTGGACAGGATATAGAATATTTCTGCCATCACATAAAGTTCTATTGGACAGCACAGTTCTTCTAAAGAATCAATGACCAATTTCCAATGAAAAAAGAAATTAATTCTTTTTTTTAACATGTTTTTTATTGGTTTCAGAAAGGAAGGGAGAGGGAGAGAGAGAAACATCAATGATAAGAGAGATTATCGATTAGCTGCTTATTACACGATCCTGCAACTCGGGCATATGCCCTGACATGGAATCAATACAGTGACCTCTGGCTCATAGGTCGACACTCAACCACTGACCCACACCACTGGGCAAGAAATTAATTCTTTAATGAGATTTAAACTGAATTGTATGTGATCTTTTAAATAAGGAAAAAAGAATCCTCAATACATAAATTATACTTTAAATGTGAATCATTTAAAAAATGTTATTGTACATGATGAGTAATAGCATTTTTTAGAACAGAAAATATCAAATACGTATATTCCTTTGATCAAGAAAAAAAAAATATGGTACTATAAGATGTAGCTGAAATCATCCTCCCTAATATATCTCTGAGAAGCACAAAACAGACTACATTGAATTTTCAGTCTTAGTGTAACTATACTATAATGCTACTCAGCATTATAGTATGTCAATATGCATTAGTACTTCATTATTCTAACAAATACATTCCTTACATTTTCTCAAATTAAGAGCAGATAACACAACACCATTCTGCTCCTTAAACACAAACAGGAATAATTATTA